GTAAGATTAATAATAGTATATAAAAATAAACTTATACAGGAAAATACATACAGATAGTCAGTATGATTTAGATTGCAAAGATCAGAAAATACCACAGAGGTTGCAGCCCTTTGATTTTTTTTTGATCGAGAGCAATGCTTCCGAAGTTCCAGATTTTTTACACACCCTTCTGTTACACTGATTTAACTTCTAATGAATTTTTAAACAAAATGTAATTGTAAATATAAAAACTAATGGAGTAAGGTAAATTGTTTGTAGAGTAAACTTAACCATTAAAATGTTACCATTAAAAGCTACAATAAGTTAAACGAATATGAATCCAAATTAGGAAAAGTAGATAAACATTTATGTTCAATGTTTGCAAACTTAGTTATATTATATAAATTATATGCACTTGCACTTAAAACACACCATTTTATTAATTATCCGATTTAAACAAATACATTTAGTTTTTTTATTACAGCTGAAAGATTAATATAAATCGTTGTCTTATATAATAGAATTATTTTAAGACATTGATTTAAAATTCAATAGTGACAAGTTGACACAAATAAGGGAACGAGTTGATTGACCATTTTAGGGACGGTTTGACTCGTTGTGGACGAGTTAACCAAAAGTAGTGGACGAGTTGGCCGGAAAGGTGACGAATTGACCGCGGGACGATCGAGTTGACCTTGATAGATTTTCTCTAGAAAATTATTGGAAACGAACGTTTATTTCATACCTCCTATTGTTTAGTTCAGCTGGCTTACGGAAGTTCGGTGGTTCTACCCAGGTGCCCGCTCGTGCCTGAAACAATGCCCGAAGGGGCACTTGGGATCTTTCTCCACCAATAAAGCTGGAAAAAATCGACGAAAAAATCTCGGCGGGACGCTCTAGGATTGCCCGACTTGAGTGTACGGTCGCCCATATGGGCTTTCCGGCGGCGACCTTCAATAAACGCATTAAAAAAAAATTAGTTATTACAATGATGTTTGTGAATGGTTTCTAAAATCCTTTATGTCTTTATTTTGGACTAAAATTGTAATACGGTGTCATCATGCACATGTCCAAAAATATGGCCATTAACTCGAAAGTATCATAAAACGTCTATGGCGTTGACAGCAATCGTGTAAAGAATATCGGAGACGTGTGTCCACTGGACTATTATTAATCTTTAAACGGGGATCTCTATTGAAAGACTTGACAAACCTTTAAAATAAATGGATACAATTTGTTTTGAATGTTCGTTTCAATATTATTTCAGTTACTAGCGCAACAGAAAGAACATTATATAAATTAATTAAGCGGATCGGGTGAGGCGATTTATTGCGCGTGTACCGCGGCCGAGTTTGCGGACGCCCTTATGGAAATTGCAAGTCTTTATGTTTGTGAAAGGGTAGTAATTATGCAAACTTTTTCGGACGTTTCGCGATTAGGAAACGTGTCCATTCGTAGCCATTCCGTGTTAATACCATAACGAACTGGAGATAAGAATTTTGCAAGAAATGAAATGCAAATTAACAATACATTGAACTCTTTATAAATGTATCTAAAAAATTATTTTTATAAACGTAAGCCTTTCTTTAACGAATTGTAATATCATAGTATTATATTCCGAAATTGTCTTTTCGGTAGGACCTTTCCCATATAAATAGAAACCATCTTTTTAATTTGACATAAAAAATGCAAGTAAAATTACAATATTCGTCCCTTTGGTTACTATTTTCATATAATGTTTGTATATTTGTTACAGTCCTGATCAGACTGCGTGGATGCGCAGTCTGGTCTGGATCCATGCTGGTCGCAAACCCATTTCGTTGGTTTTGTCGTGACACGGCTCATTTAATATTCTAATCTCTAGCAAGTCTACCAAAGTTCATGGTGAACAATGTCTTTCGTCCGCCTTTTCATCTATATACAATTTTGGAAAATCCAATTAACCATTGAAACGTTTTTAAGAAGATATAAGGTCATCAGATGTCTACAAGTTCATCGTCACTTGCTGCATTTCTTGCTTGGACGCCCTTTAATTGATGATTTGCATCAATGCTTTTCTTTTTAATAGAAATATAATAGATTCAACTGCTTCAATTTAACTGAATAATTGATACAGTTTGATCGTCGCGTTATGCTGCACCTGATGTCAAATTGAAAGTAGTATACATGGTTTAAAAAGTCGTTGTCACTGAAGGGTTAAGGGACAGGGCAGTTTTTGTCGTTAAGTACTTTTCGCTTTCGGTAGACATAGAAAATTTAGATACATGTATATAAACTGAAGGCACGAAGTTAACAAGAAACCGACATTCTTCATACCGCATGGTTGTGATACATTTTGACTTTGTTCACATGTTCTGATACACTATGTAATATACTTTACGTAAAACATTGACAGTTAAATAACATGAATTTCAGAAAAAAAACCACGACAATCCTGGAAGGATTATAATGCAGCAATTAACGAAATGTGCGGCACTGAAAAGGTCAGAAGGTTGGAAAATTCCCAATGCGTGGGAGTTAACAGTTCAATAAAAACAGTTCATAATACATGTAATTGAGAATCTTGTGCGATGGATTTAAATAAATATGAAAAACAGTGTTTAAATAAGAAAATGAACGGATTAACACATGACCAGGAAAAATAATATTACATGTACAATAAATTTATTCGATTGACGGGGTATGTAATTTCTTGATAATTTGGAAACCATTACTTCATTGGTTTAGCTAGGGTTTCAAAAAGGATAATTAACCAATCATATACGGTTTACAGATCACGTGCTCCTCGATCCATGTATCTAAAACATTTAACTTGCTCCTCCATGCCGCGTACCAATATCCTGCACGCCCTAGCCCGCAGGGAAATTTTAATGTAATTAACACTATCACAGAACTTATTTTATAAATAAATAGACTTATAAAAAACAAATTTAGAGTGTCAATGATACCAGATATTTTCAAAGTTTGAAAATATAAAAACTACACGGTAAAAAGAATTTTACATTTTGCAAGATCAACCAAAATACTTTTAAGACTTAAACACCTAATATCTATAGATATCTTTGCAAATGTAGATATAGATATGCAAATGTGCACTATACGAAAATCACCCCTGCTCCCCCACCTTAAAAAATAAGACATTCCTGATAAACAAATGTGCAAATCATAACATCAATCAGCTGTACAATGTTGGTAACTTTTCACATTTCCATAAACATTGATATTTAGAAACGCCGTTTGTATGTAATTCTAGATGCCGTTTGTATGTACTTTTAGATGCCGTTTGTATGTATAATTTTAGATGCCGTTTGTATGTAATTTTAGATGCCGTTTGTATGTATAATTTTAGATGCCGTTTGTATGTACTTTTAGATGCCGTTTGTATGTATAATTTTAGATGCCGTTTGTATGTAATTTTAGATGCCGTTTGTATGAACTTTAAGATGCCGTTTGTATATAATTTTAGATGCCGTTTGTATGAACTTTTAGATGCCGTTTGTATGTAATTTTAGATGCCGTTTGTATGTAATTTTAGATGCCGTTTGTATGTAATTTTAGATGCCGTTTGTATGTAATTTTAGATGCCGTTTGTATGAACTTTTAGATGCCGTTTGTATATAATTTTTGATGCCGTTTGTATGAACTTTTAGATGCCGTTTGTATGTAATTTTAGATGCCGTTTGTATGTAATTTTAGATGCCGTTTGTATGTAATTCTAGATGCCGTTTGTATGTAATTTTAGATGCCTTTTGTATGTACTTTTAGATGCCGTTTGTATGTACTTTTAGAAATGCCGTTGCAGTTTGTATGTAATTTTAGATGCCGTTTGTATGTATAATTTTAGATGCCGTTTGTATATAATTTTAGATGCAGTTTGTATGTAAATTCATGAACAATAACTCAACATGAAATTATAAAATAATTGACTATCAAGCAACTGTTGTGCAGCCGAAAAATGATAAAATTCTTTTTATGAAAAAAAAAAATGAATAAATATGCATGCTATTTTCTTTTAAACACAAAAACTTATAAATGTAATCAATTTCTAAACAGGCCATATTTTCAAAATAATGTGTGAAATTTCAAATATGTCAAGTTACAAATATAATATGTTTTAATAAGAGATGTCAAATTAATAATTATGTAACCGGAAGAATAAATATGGCTTTTCCTCTTTGTCCAATCAACTGTGCTAAAAGTTTTATTATATATAGGTGATAAAGTCAATTAAGCTGACTGTACTTAATAAGTTGTTAAACCTTATGACTGATAAAATGTACAGGTGATGATTGTTGTTATAAATTCTATGTTGCTATGTTACCTTATTTTGTATTGAAACCTGATTAGTCATTTTGTTATTTTAGGCACAAAAACGTTAAAATTCTATTGGTCAGTTTAAAACGAAAATAGCATGCATATTTATTCATTTTTTTTTTCATAAAAAGAATTTTATCATTTTCGGCTGCACAACACAACTGTGCACAGTTTTTATTTATTCTCACAAGCAACCGTGCAATGAGTTAGCAAGCAACCGTACACTTAGGAAACAACACCAGTGATGAAACCACTGTGCCATTTCTTAAGCTTACATGATTATTCTCCAAAGTATGAAGTGGATTTTCTCATATATCGTATGTAAAGCTTGAAATCGGTGTTCGAAGTCAACAATTGTGACATTTTTTTGAGGAATCGAGGTATGAAGTTCTTATGATAACTTGCAGGGAGTTCTTGTGATAACTGTCACGGAATTCGTAGGAAAACTATTGTAAATACTGCAAAAACACTCGTCAAAAATGGTAAAAGTGAGTTGTAGGTGCGACATAAAAAGTCCTTATCCGAAGTTTGACGGAAAGGGCCGGAAAAATTTGCGATTAATCATATAAAATATGTTGTTAAATTGATGTGACATTTAAGATATTGGGGGATAGAGCTTATCTAAATAATTTCAATAAATACACAATGTAACATGATACGTGCATTAAACTTCTATGTTAAAATATATTTCTGTTGTTTTTTAAAGGTGGAATGACTTGTAGGATGTACCAAAATAACTACAGTTCTTACCACGGGAGAGATGGACGTAACTCGGTGTGCCCGCCATGCAATTTGCAGGAACCCAACTTTTCTCATCCATTTTTTTCTTCAGGGAAATATTTCAATGGATATGCAGGTAAATTGAATTTATGAATTCTCCGTTTTCCGGTTTTTTTTTACCTGGGTTTAGTTAAAGACATACTATGTGTCCATCCTTGAGTGAAATATTTCAATCACAGATATTCATTGAAATAGAGGATATTTGTTTAGTTCAGTGTAAGATCGAAATATATTTCACCGAGTGAGCACCAAAAGGTATATTTCACGAGTGGCGCAGCCACGAGTGAAATATTAACTTTTGGTGTTCACAAGGTGAAATATATTTCGATCTTACACTAAACTAAACAAATTTTCTTTTTATTATATGCAAATAAACGTTTTAAAAAGACATTAAACCTAATACTGAATGAAAAGCGCGCCAAATAATAATACAACGTGACGTCATTTACGACGTCACGTCATTAAGTTGGTACCCAGTTCTGTGCACGCTGGTATTTCACTGAAACAACGTAAGGGGCTTAAATTCAAAACAGTGAAATTATCAAAGTGGTAATTTCACTGTTTTAAACAGTGAAATTACCAGTTTTTATATCACTGATATATTTCTATAAACCACCGAAAAGCATGTAATAAAATCAATTCATACTGAATGTGTCTAATTGGAATAAAAAAAAAACAAATAAACAATGCATCACAGTATGGGAAGCTGCGTTTCTTATTACAGGTCAGGTAAAGTTGGTATTTTCTTAAAAAAACTAACAAAATAACAACAACAACAACAACAACAAAAAAAACAACACCCCCAAAAATGCCAGTTTATATAAAATGACACTACATAAAACGTAACATATCGACAAATGTTACATAGTTATATCATAATCTTAAATCGAAATCTTTCCTTTGGAGTTTAAATGTAATAAATATTTCATGATTGAACTTAATAGTTCATAATCGAGAATTAATTAAAAGATTATTAACGATTTAAATTACAATGTATCTTGGTTGTCATTTAATTCTAGCAAAAAACCCTACAGAATACAAATGTTCCTCACAAAGAGTGATCATCTTATGTCCGCGAAACTGCCACTTTTTTACATGTATGATTACGAGAATATAGTTAAAAAAACAAAAACAATGTATCTTGAAATTTTAAAGTATTTCAAACTCTGCATTTATTTTTCAGAAGAATATCGAATTCCTGAAATGAGCAGAAGTCCAGCAGAACATTTCCTGGCAAGGCAACAAATACGCCACACAACAAGACGGCCAATCAATCTGCATGGTCACCGGTTTGTTCCGCCATTTGCAAGTCCAGATTATGCACCAAGCTTCACACAAATGCTTCCATTTTATTTTAGGCATCCATCTAATTTTAGGTATCCATCTTATTTCGGTAAGTTTGAATCCATCATGCACATCGCAGTATAATATGCGATTTGAAATTGGTTTATTTCTATGTAACAGTGTATTCATTTGCAAACTATCAAAGTCCCACCATAGGCAGACATATGTTTATTTTTTATATTTGCATGGGTTGCATATTATTTCTCTTACGTTTGGTTATTGGTTTTAAGGGTACGGCGATTAAAAGGGTAAAAGGGGTGTGTATACATTCATTCATTATTGTTGTGCGGTCAGTCACCCAGATAAAAATAGCATGTACAATGTAATAAAACAACACATTCTAAATAGCATATGGTCAATTTCCATGATCACTGTCGGAATCTTTTTATGAAATACCTTTGATCTAGGACATAAAAAGACGTGTGTCCAACCATTAATATAATGAATAAAAACATTTAGTGGTGTTCAATTTTAAATAGCAGTAAAGCGATTTCTACGAAGTTATGATAAAACGAGTTACCGGCAAAATTTATCCACTCTTGCACATAAATTTTATTTGTTTTGTGTGCATTTTTCATCTATAAAATGGTATAATGCATATCTTATAATATGAATCTTGTTTATTTTGATGAGTTTTTAAAGAAAGCAGTTATTATGGCAAACGCAAATCATCGGGAGCCGTGTCAGACCTGCCTCGGCAGAGGCTGGCTAAATTATCCGATTATTTGATAATCATTATGATACTTGTATGGTTGTTTTTCGCAGGCATGGCAGGCTGGGGAAATAGTTTCCCCCGTATTTTTGTGGGAAAAATAATATGGTATTTTTAGGGGAAGAAAAAACGTGATGTTAAATACCACTGATCAGCTGATTACATGTTTTGGGGGAAAACTGCATGATTTTAAATTGAACCCCACCCCCCTTAAATGGTCCCTGTTATAGAAGTAAAAAATGCAAAGACTACCAGCAGGTTGAGTTTTCTTTTCTGGGCAAGATTCTTTACCCATGTGAATAGGACCTTTTATTTTAAAAGAAGCTAACATGGATCACCTACCTTGTATGCCTACACGTCTGGAGTGAAACTAGCACATGCATGGACTAGTCCAATATATTAGATGTTACAGGCTTGTTATAGTTTTTGTCGGTCAAGCCTGACGTCTAATAGTTATTGCTCATAAACGCATAGCATCATAAAAAATTCAAAAAATGTCTATTGTCTTGCCTTTCAAGCTTTATTCAAAAGCTTATCATATTTTCTTTCAATTTCATGCTCAATCATACACAAAAACTTTCAAACGATGTACTTATCAGTTTAAAATAAAATATAAACATCAATCTATTTTTGTCTATCAGCCATACTGGTTAAGCAAGGTGCTTTACAGATTGATTCCAAATTTTTGAACGGAAAAATATATTCGAACACACTGACAGTGCAAGGGCAATTATTTCGTTAAAAAAATATTCCGTTAGATTGTTCTGACTCAGTTAAACGCTTGCATTTGAATTAGCCAATCAGATTTCGCGCACTTTACGGCCGCCATTTGTTTATCGGCTGTAAAAACAATTGAAATACACAAGAGGATTTAATCATGATTTTTCGGATGTGACAGTTAATTTATTTTGACAAAAGGTATTTATTTTTTAGTTTTGTTCATAAATAGGTCAAAAATTATGTAAATACACGCTGTCTTCATTGTTTTTCGTTCCGCCCGATTTTCTGGCGGAACATGCTATGGGTTTTTGAGCAATTTCGATATGACGTTGCTTTGCCCAGAAGCAAAAATATCTCAAAGCGACGTCATATTTATAGGACTAATGCATGGACATGGCTGGAGACCTTGTCTTTTAGGTTAAAAGTTTTTGCGTGAATAAGAAAAGAAAAACAACAGTTTTGCATAATAATAGTTTAGGGTCCGTAAAAATCTGCCAGGGCATTTAATTTCAGAAAAACTTCCTTTGATCCAAAAAAAATAATTTATTAAATGCAAACTGAGGTTCTCAGTTATAGAGAACCACCTCATTTGATGAGTTAAAAACTAAATTTTCTTGCAATTGAATATTACTAGAAGTAACACATAACTTTCTCACTCACTCACTGATTTTTAATAATTTTGAATGAATAATATAAATTATTAACCTAAGGGGCTGTATTACCAGACCTGGGGATGATTACATTTACCAGTAATTGATTTAATTACAATCACTTTAAGATTTTATTGTAATTGATTAAGATTGATTACTCACACTTGCCTCTGTAATCAATTAAATTACAATTATTTTAAGAGAGTAATTGATTGATAATTGATTACATTCAATATAAAATAGAATCCCTACTTAGACCACCCTGTTAATAAGACTATTTTTTACAAGGTTCTTTATGTCAATGGTTACATGATCCAGAATTAAGATCAACCGCTTATCCACTTTTAAGACCACCTGATCCAGTCCAAATTCTTTGCTTTATTCTTAATTTGACTCAACACCTATCTAGATCTAAAATTTGTTGTTATGATCTGCTTGAATGCTTTGCATGACACTTAATTTCAAAAGGTGTGAAAAACTGTTATTATTGGATCATTGTATGAAAAAGGGTGAGAAAGTAAATTTTAGAGTGGTTTATTGTTGCTTTCAGCAAATTTATTTTGTGAAGAATTAATTTTTATTTGATAGGTGATTTATGTACATCATATATAATTGATATTGAAATATGACAAAGGAGAATTTTATGTTAAATTTCTTCAGAAATATGTTTTCCTCTCATCAGATATCAAAGCATACTTTTATAGTGTCTTTTATATTGTATTTGTAGCTTAAAGACACATATTGTTTTTTTTTTTTCATACAAAATGACTAAAACAGACCATGGTCATAAAGTATGTAAGCAATGATAAGAATATTCACAATTAAGACCTCTTTGGTCCAGCCCAGTTAATTACAATTAAATTAATCATTTTTGGGCAAGGTAATCAATTACATGATGATAAGTGTAATCATGTAATCAATTAAAAAATCAATGATTATAATTAATGATTACCCCAGGTCTGTGTATTACTTAGGTGTAAGGCTCCCACATAACATTACAATGTTTTGTAAATGTTTACTGTATTACATGATAGCTAAAAACAAAATGATATCATTCTAACGTTGTACTATACTACCTATTCGAGTTGCCTATTTTTAATACACATAAATATATAAATGTTCGAGCTCATTGCGAGGGAGTCTGCACCAATTTTTATACACATTTCGCTCTTTGACAGATCATAGAAAATTTAACATTATCAAAAAAGTATTCAGTCATGGTCAATCAGGTACAATTGTTTTTGATAGCCTCATCTCATTTTTACTGGATATAAGTCAATTTGAATTGTTATATTCATGACTGAAGGTACATGTTATAGTAACAACTATTACATAATATTCTGCTAAGACAACATGATCATTTTGTTAAACAGTAAAAAGTATTGTAAACGTTAACAAATGAAAATCGTAAGGAATACGTTCAAACCTGTAACTGTAGGGGCCATACTTTTGTTTTCAAGTGTGAATGATGAAAGATTCTCTTGAACGGTTGACAACAAAAGTTATACATGTAGCATGAATTCAGTAGGAATGAAATATCTTGCTTTTTATAATCTCTAAAACTATCTTGAGGTTATGTTTACAAAGCTCATCTTGAAAAGATCTTGCTGACATGATGCTTTTCTTTCCATGAATTTAAAGGGTAGAATCTTGTTTATTTAATCCAAGAATTAATCAAGTGTGCATGTATTTCTGTAAATATGCTGTTATTCTAATACAAGGTGCTTTTCTGGATATTTTTGTAGTTTTAAAAAAAAATTATTATGTTAAAACCGGGCAGTAGTGTGGAGGCAGCATTTCCCAATAGCTAGATGTGTTCCAATTTCGATACAAGATAATGCCATTTGCCCAAACAGTTTCCAAAGAAAGTTGTCCAATAGAACTATTTCTAGCCATGTTTCATTATCTTTAAGCCATAACTTTACACATTAATTTTATATTTGTTTTACTGAGGTATAGAATTTTAATACATGTATTATACTTTTATAGACTGGCCTTTGAAACTCTATTTATGTTAACAACAGCCTGTGATCATGTTAGAAAATAGTTGATCCTGAATCAGCATTAAAGCTGCATGCCTCCAGATGAGCCAAACTATTTCAAGAAAATCAATATTGAGAAAAATGCACGTAACTTTTAAGAAAGACAAAATATTCAAGGTCCAAGTTACATTTTACTACTGATTTTGCAGTATTTTTTATCACCATGTTTCTACTGCATTACTAACGCAGTAAGGACTGTTTTTGCATATTTTGACCACTCTTTGGTTATTTTCGTGGATTGTAAGTGCTGATTACAATATGCAAATTACTTTATTTGTTCACCTCACATTATTTTACTTTTAAATACATTTCCATAATTTTTATGAAAATAAACATGAATCTGGAGGAGTGCTGCTTTAAGGCATAGATATTTTCTTCCATTCTGACGGAATTCTTTTCATCATTCATTAAATCTTCACTACAGTCTTTATACTAAAATAGCAAGCTTCTTACTTTGTTAGCTTCTCACATAATATATTCATGTAACATGCACTTCTCATTATAGGTGGCAGTATGCAGCATTGCAGGTTTGACCAAACGGCCAACTCTTTGAATCCTGTGGATGAATCTCTAAATTCTGTAATACAGTCCTCTTCCTCACAGACCCCACCGTATCCGGCTCCACCAACAAATTTACCTCTATCTTATCATTCAGACCTAAACACAGGTATTATAGTATTTGACGAAAAGGTAATCTTACTGTAATGCTCTATCGCCAAAAAAATCTAACATCGGCCAATATTGTAGCGAATTTGTTATTTCCGGAACATTATTTCTTTCAAAATCTTGGGCATTAGATTATTAACAATCACTCATCCTTAATCGATATGTACTAAATCTTGGTTACAAATGGTTAAACATTGTGTAAATTAATGTTCTGGAAATGACCGATTTATTACGATATTGGCAGATGTTAGAAATTTTTGGGCGGGAAAGCATAGCAGTAAGACTACCTTGCTATTTGAAGAATGTTGGGGCTATCCTATTCCTGCTGGTGTCAACATAACACTTTGGTTGAAGTTTTGTATGCAATGTCTTCTACAACATATCTGAGACATCATCCACTAACCACTAAAGAGTAAAGATATTTGCTTGTTACTAAACCTATGTCTTTTAGATCCTCATAAGGGGTCACTGTCCAAGGCCTGTTAGTCTAGCATGGATTTTGACAAACTTGTTGCCCTTTGTAAGCTTAGAAAATTCTTGGTTACTGCTTTGAATGCAACATATATCTTCAAAACTGCTTAAAACTTCACGCCTCCAGATGAGTCAAAATATTTCAATACAATCAAACTTGAGAAAAATGTACTAAGATGTAAGGAAAAGTAAAAAGTTTCAAGATTCAAGTAATATTTTACATATAATGTGCGGTTAATGACTTAATTTCTACTGTGTTAAAGGCTATATATGCATAATAGACCATCTTTTGGTAATAAATAATGTTTGTAAGTGCCATTGATAATGTGTAGATTGCTTCCTTTTGGTTACTCAACAATATTACACATTTTAATACATTTCTAAAATGTTCATGAAAATTAGCATGAATCTGGAGGCGTGCTGCTTTAAAGTTTTCATTTGAAACTTGTCGCTTGTCTTTCATTATACAAGGCTCATAACACTAACATTGATTTGACTGAATAATTGCCCTTTTAAACTTGGAAAATCCTGTTATAAATGTTTTGTATACAACATCAGTCTTCGAAACTTTGATTTTGGTACTTTTATGTTGTCTAATGACATGTATAATGTTGTCTAATGACATGTTTATTAGAGTTTTGAAAAATTTGATTATACATGTATTTATTTTTAACTAAAATTTACGGTTTGTGAGCAATAGATTTGGATTCATGTCATTGTTTTAGCGATGACTTTATTTGCCCAATTAAAAGTTTACTCATGATTTGCTTTGTGTCAAATATTGAACTCTTACACTGAATTATTAAGATGCATCATGGAATAGGCACGCTCTGACTTTTGTTGTATTATATGTGAATAAAATGCATAAGAAACAAACACTGTATTTCACATGTTCTATACTACAATCATTGTATGTATACATGTGAATGTGAAATAATAATACTCAACGTTACAATATCCATAGTAGATGTATTTTATTGTAGAAAACAACGTCACATTTTAATGTACATGTACTGACAAAGCGTGACAGCTTAAATTTCTGTGTGTTTGATATCTGCAATTTTATATCTGGGAGAAATGTTGTTCCCACAGAAATAAGTACTTACACAGTATTCAGGTTGATTGATCAAGGTATATTTAGACCTCTTGTTTATTGCATGATAACCTACTTCTGATCTAAAAATATCTAAAAACCATTCCTTTATACTTCAGCATCACCTGGCATTCCTCCAGAATATGGCAGCAACTCGATTGCATGTTTTCAGCCGTTGAGTCAACCGTTTCAAGGTTTTCCAGGACAGCCAGTAACTACTGACAACCACAAACTTACTACTTCAGTGCCAGCTGCCAACCCAGGTATTTCTTCATCAGTTGATCTGCATTCAAGGCATGTACAGCAAAGCCATCCATCTCAGCTCAGTAAGTTTTTTACTTTAATATTTTAACTTACAAGGTGATAATGTAAAGATGTTATAGTACTTATACTATAGAAATTTATGTTCCAAAAAATCAATGAAATGGTGTAGGCATTTAGGAAACGTAAAGAGTGAAGTGTTTTTCTTAACTTAATTTGGTTAGCCTGTCAGAGTGTTTACAGTTGCTGAGTTTATATCCTGTAAAAATAAACTTATATTAAAAACTAAAGAGGTCGCCCAACTCAAAAATGAATTGCCTTTAAACCTTTTAAACTCACATCAGGATAGAATTGATTTTTAGCTTGACTTTTCGAAGGATAAAGAGAGATAATAATTATTGTACTCGCGCAGGCTTTGGTGTCACACTTCGGTTAAGTTTTTGCATGCAAGTTGGTTTGTCTAAAACTACTACATGTATAGGGAAGCGGTTGAAACTTAACACACTTATATAAGATATATTAGAGCATAATAGAGAGTCAATAACCAAGGCCTATAACATGGATTTTGATAGAAATTTGTCCCCCTTTGAAGGTCGCAAGTGTAACTGATTGATTTTAATATATTTTTGCTGATACAGCCATTATAAATTGACATATATCTCACATGTTTGGTAGATGCATACTTAGATTGGTTCTTTTACTTTGGATCTGTGTTCAAGGTCACTGGTGCTAAAAATGTATTTCCTGTATTTATTGAAGGATGTCTTTTTAGCTCACTTGTCACTAAGTGACATGGTGAGCTATTGTGATCGCTTTTCGTCTGGCGTCCGTCAGGCGGCCGTCCGGCGTATGTAAACTTTTACTTTCAACAACATCTCCTCATAAACGACTGAGCCAATTTTATCCAAACTTCAAAGGAATGTCCCTTTGGTGGTCTCCTTTCAAAATTGTTCAAAGAATTTAATTCCATGCAGAACTGTGGTTGCCATGGCAACCAAATAAAAAAAAACTTAAAAAAATCTTCTCTTAAAAAACCCAAAGAGCTAGAGCTTAGATATTTGGCATAAAACATCTTCTAGTAAGTGTCTACCAAGTTTGTTCAAATAAAAGCCCTGGGGTCAAAATTGGCCCCGCCCCAGGGGGTCATTGTTTTTCCATATATGTATATAGTAAAAACTTAAAAAATTCCTTTTAAAAAACCGAAAGAGTTAAAGCTTAGATATTAAGCATGCAACATCTTCTAATGGGTGCCTACCAAATTTGTTCAAATAAGGGCCCTGGGGTTAAAATTGGCCCTGTCATGGGGTCAATGATTTTCCTTATATGTGACTATAGTAAAAACTTAAAAAAATCTTCTTTTTAAAAAAAGCCAAAGAGCTAGAGTTAAGATACTAAGCATGAAATATCTGCTACTGAGTGTCTACAAAGTTTGTTCAAATAAAAGCCCTGGGGTCAAAATTGGCCCCGCAGCGGTGGGGGGTGTTGGGGGTCGTTGTTTTTCCCTATATGTGTATAGTATAAACTTAAAAAATCTTCTTTTAAAACCCCTAAGAGCTAGAGCTTAGATATTTATCATGAAACATCTTCTAGTGGGTGTCTACCAAGTTTGTTCAAATAGAAGCCCCTGGGTTAAAATTGACCTGCCCCGGGGGCCTATATATAGGTGAGCGATTTCAGGACCATCATGGCCCTCTTGTTAACAATTGCATAGTCAGATATACACATACTTAGTAAATTTCTCAAGTCATATACACATGCCTATTTAATTTCTCAAGAAAACAGCCTTTAAGTATATTTTAGCTAGTAAAAAATAATATACAAGAAATTTCAACCCACCCATCTCTCTTTATTTTAGTCTGATACAAGAAACAGATTGATTAATACTTGTTTCGCCCAACCTTTTGAAAGTTTTGTTCTGTTTCTTTACAGTAAATAATCAACAAAGACAACCTACAAGATCTTTCAGTATCAACCAGCATATAGGGCTTGATGAGCCGCCAGTCGTTAATGTTAGTCAACTTAACAACAGCATAAAAGTACAGTACCAGTTTGGCTTGAACGATAAATTTGCAGTGCAATCTACAAATTCTACAGTATCAAATGGTTCAGATTTTATTGGTTGGCAAAACCACAACGATTCCCATCAGTGCGATTCAGTAAATGAAGATCTAAAAAAACAACATAACCAGCCAGAAACTTCCAGTGATATCAACGGTTGCAGGAGCAACGAGGAATTTGAAAAAGAACGCTTTTCTGTGTTTAATATTCATAAAAAAAGTGATGAAAATATAGACAAAAGTTCAAATATTTATGCCTCACATTTAAATTCAGTAAATAAAAATTGTGACATTTTAAAAGATACAAGAAAAAATTTACAAACTCTGATAAAAAAGCAGCAGGAGAAAATACAGACCTGCAATGAAAACATAGAAACACATGAAAAGAAAAGTAAAAATATTGATAAAACTGTGAGTACAGGTAACAATATTGATCAAGGTACAGTTCCTGATCTTCTTGCCCAGAGAAGGGATATTGAACTGCCAAAAGGAAGAAAAAGTGAAATTGCCAATACTAACTTCTTTGACAAAGGTGAGAAACTTTTGAAGACACATACTTCAGATATTGACAAAGTTACTTTGACAGAATCAAATAGTAATATAAGTATTGCTAAAAAAAGCTTGAAAAAGACTAAGGCATCAGTGATTCCCAAGTCAAAGGGAGGAGCTAACAGTGTTAAGAAAAGCTGTAAGAAGTCTGATGCATCAGCGAAGAAGTCTACTTCCAGAAGTAAAAAAACAAACAATGAAATAACTTTAGTTAAATTCTCATACCAGTGTGGGGAATGTGCAGATACTTATCATAGTATTGGAGATTTATTTAAACACATTAATGAAAAACATTCAGAAAATCCTGTGGCAAATGTAGGAACCAATGAGATTGATAGCAAAACTGATAAAGATTTAGACAAAAGCATCAAAAATAGTAATGATAAAGTTGCAGAAACTTTAAAGAATAGTGAAGAAACTGAGTTAAACAAATTTAAAACTAATGTAAACACAATAGAGGAAGTTGAAGAGAATATTGTTAATGAAGATAACAACCAAATTGAAGAAGTGGAAGAAGAAACAGTTGCTGGTGAAACAGAAGAACATGAACTAGATATGGAAGTTGAGAGTGAAAATATTGTTACTGAGCCAGAGTGCTTATTGTGTCCAATCTGTGCCTATGCCAGTAACTCTCCAGAAGAAGAAGAAAGGCATAAAAAAACACATGAGCGAGAGACAGAGAGACATAGTGAATGTCATACTGTTGAGCGTGAATATATGAAGCAATGCCAAGAAATGTTTGATGTCCAGAGGAAAAATATTGAAGAGAGGTCCCTTGATGGAAGGAAACAGAAAGAAAATCATCAGAGTAGTTTAAATGTTTCAAAGGTATGTGTTCAGGTTTTCATAACATAATTGTTTTACTTCTTATTTAAGTAATATATAAATGTATAAAAATGTTGCTTTGAGATAAGGTTGCATTATGGCAATCTAAGTATAGATTTAATGACTGTGTACAAGTAAAGGTCAAAATAATGCTTAAGTTTGTAATATTTGTATTTCAATTTTATATTCAATTTTTACACAATTTAACCTTTCCAGGTGTGACTCATAGAAATTTGAATATTTTTTCTTTGGAATTCATAAGTGAAATTTTAGTGATGTAAAAAGTAGGACAGTTTGAACATTATAAATTCTTGGTTATAGAATGCAATTTATTTGAATCTTAATGCAGGTCCTCAGGACAAATTATGAGCTAACTGTCATGAAGTATGGCCCTTTGTGAAGATTGAAAAATTTTTGGTCAGTTTCCAAGACTCAGGGTTCTCACTAGGACTTTAAAACATGGAGTCCATGGACTCCCAACCCTGAAAAAGTTGGAGTCCAAAAGCGCGTCGCAATTAATATGTTTACAGATTAGTCATTCAATGCTCACAATAGCATTGCTGATATTTTGAATCTTCAAGAGACTTCCAAAGTTTATAGTTATTCAAAAGAAACTCTGAACTACATAGTATAATTATTGTTTTGTTGTTGATATTTATTATGAAATTATTTCATTATAATGCATCAACACATGGAAATCGTTTTGTTTTGTTTTCACTTTTATACCAAATCAAATTTTATTCTGGTTAAATAAGTCCACTCTAAAGACAAAAAGTTTATATTTGTAAAAAAAAACGTTATTGTGTATAGGCAGCGTTTAGCGGAATGAATATGAAAATCGTGTACAGCTTCAAACAGTGTGTAAGATTCATCCGATCGACATTTTAGCAAATATCTTCAAAAGGGGGCCAATTGAAGATCGATATTTAAAGATTTAATGTTGATTAAATAATAAAGGAACAATTCATTTGCATGTTTGGCTTGGAAACCGAGAATTTTTGCGAAATTTTAGGGTTTCTGGCGAACGTGAAATCGTCGATGTTCGGGATCAATTTTCGGATAGAATCTAAATATCAAAGAAAAGCGTATGTTTATTTTGGTTTGTTGTCCTGGCATTTCGGCACAATATCTTAAATTCTTAATAGTCTTATCGAAAGTTTTTGCAAGAATGAAACTAAAGCAAAATTGTGCCTAGAAAATGCCGAAAATATTCGACAATCATTCAAAATTACACTCATTTGTAATTTGAGAAAACAGTCTTTAAACTTGCGGCGTAAATAGTCGATAATTTTATCCTTTTGTCGGTAAAATTTGCTAATTTCCAATAAACTGTTGATCAAAGATATAAAATTATCACCTCGTGTTATATCTGGGGTAATAACATGTACTGTACAGCGCGTGTATACATTAGTCTGATCACTATTGCGTGATAATGATCGTAAGCATTATCGCTGATTGGCTAATCGCTTCACGGGTCGATGTGCATAGGACCGCCTACCTATAGACTGACACGCGCTGACGCCTTTGTATTTTTGTGGTTGTAAACAATCGGTAATGTTTATGCGTCCCCAGGCAAAATTTAGCGTACGTGGAATCCTTGCTCTGAAATATTTGCGTCCAGCTGTAATAAACATGCGTACCGGGACGCCGAAATAAGCGTCCCCGAGAACCCTGAAGACTTATAGTTATAACTAATAAACTATGTTTTCTATTTATACCCCCATAAACAAAGTTTTTTTTAAAAAAGTTGCTGGTGGAGAAGTGATAGATCTAGTTTTAAAAAAAGTGTTGAATTCCTACAGGCTCTTGCTTTACAATCAAGCACTAAGAATAGTCAATTGTTCTCTTGTTTCTCCATGTTTATTAATGTTTAAAAGTTACGTTCCATTTTCATTTATATATTTTTATAGGTTATGGATGGATCTGGTCTTCAAAAACAGCCAAATATTTCTGGTCCAAAAGCAAAGAAAGTTGCAGACAAAAGTGAACCAACTACAGATTCAACAGAAAATTATTTAGAGAAAAAGAAAACTGGATTAAGAAATAGAGAGAAAACACAAGCTAAGAATAGCTTGATGAATCCTAGTAAAGGTAAACAAAAGAGAGTTAGAGACACTCATAACTTTGGTAAAGAGGACAGAATGTTGATGGAAATGTTTGGTATAATCCCTAGTAAAGTGTGCCTCAGTAGAGTAGAAGATTCTGATAAGTTAGAAGCCAAAAGTAGAAATAATACAGTTGAAGAACCTAAAAATGACATAGAAAATATTAAAATTGAGAATGAAAGATTTAAGGAGGAAACTTTAACAGGAAATAAGAAAGTTAAAAAGAATCATTGGAGTAAAGTTTTAGGCATGAGTAATTGTGAAAATGAAGAGAATGTGGTTGATGATCAGACATTTGATAGTGATGACTCAGACATAGAAATAGTTGAACCCCCTGTAACACTAATTGTACTAGATGATGAAGTAAGTACCGAATTGGAAGTCAAAGATTCTCTGAGTAAAACTGTTCCAGAAACTCCTGAAAAAGGAGTAGCTAGTCCTAAAAGATCAAAGAAAGTTGGTCATAAAAAACCTCAGAAAGGAAGCCCAACAAAATCAGATAAAGGGAGTCCTGTAAAACTGGACAAAAAAGGAAAAGAAAGTACTGGAGCTATGGATGCTTCTGTGGAAATAGAGAGAGGAGAAAAAGAGGTTGAGTTTTCAGAAATCAGTAGGAGTGGTAATAGTGATGCTGAACTTTTAGAAAAATATGGAATAAAAAACCTAAGAATAAATTTAACACACACACCTTCTAAAGTGAAACAAACAAAACCAGGTCCAAAATCTAAGTGTCAAACTAACAAGGGCCAATTAGGAGAAAGTAAATCATATAGTAATGCACCAATTAAAA